GGGATGTGGCGGGCGGGACCTCATTTCCACGCTCTTGGGGACCTCACATGTTGCTGGGGAGGTGGAGGGGCTGGGGTCCCATCCCAGCTGCCTCCCAGCAGCGCCCAGTGCCAAGGCTGTGCATTCCCAGCACCAGCCCTTCTTGCAGGGCTCAGACTGCAGTGCCTGCACCCTCCCGCATCCAATGTGCCAGGGGGGGCACCGACCCACCGACCCAGGGCTCAGGGTGCCTGCACCCACAGATAAGGAGGTGGCACCATGCTCCTCTTGGGCCCTGATGCCTGTTGGCTTGCACAGCCCCTGGAGCATCCTGGAGGATGCTCCCTCCAGCATCCTCTCAGCCTCCCTGCACCCCACCACCTGCAGGGAACCAGAGAGGGGACAACCCTGGTCACCTATCTGCCTGCACCCTCCTGCATCCTGGCAGCACGCAGCCCGGCATGGTGGCTTTGCAGAGTCACAGTTCCAGCTGCCCACCTGCCCCATGGCCCCTGTGCTGCAGCAGGTGAGGGGATGGAGATGGGGATCGTTTTGGGAAGCTGGGGTGGAGGGAGAGGCACCGAGGCTGGAGGAGCATCAGGAGACGCTGGCCTGGGACAGGGATGGGCTTGGTGCCACCATCGCGTCTGTCCTCTCTGCACCCTGACACACATGTGTGCAAGGAGGCAGCATGTAAGGGAGCTGCTTGCAGCCCCCAGGCCCGTAACCACGCTAGGATTTTGGAACTAAACTGACCTCCTCCAGTGCCAGCCCTTCCCGGCTCCCAGCACGGCCCAAGCACGCCCAGCCTTGCCCCAGCCGCAGGAGCTGTGCCTTCCCCAGGCACACAGCGAAAAAGACACAATCCCTTCCAGCGCAGGGAAGATCCCGGGAGCGCAGATGCAAGGACATGGCTGTTCAGCTCACCCCAGCGATGACCCGAGCCCAGCGCAGCCTGGCCCCACGCAGCCCCCCCCTTGTCCCTGTCTGAGTTACACTGTCGAGGAGAGCGGGACGGGAGCCAGGGGCTGGAGAAACCCAACCCAAGAGCTTCCCACAGGGCAGCTGCCTCCTGCCAGGGACAGCCCCAGCTCCCCCAGCACACGCTGAGCCACCGCAGCTTCTCTCCTGGAGGTGACAGTCCCCAAGCAGATCTGGAGGGCCAGCGAGTGTGAGTGGTCCCCAGCCGCTCCAGCACAGAGTCCCCCATGCACAACTAAATGCCACCATGAGGGTGGCCGTGCCAAAGCGTTGGAGGGGTGCCCCCCCACTCCGGAGACACCCCCCCCACCCTCCTGCTGTCCCGGTGTGCCCACACTACCCGTGTCCCCGGGCTCTGCTCAGCCCCACAGCCCCACGCAGCCTTCCCACCTACCCCAGGACACGCTGCAGCGCCCGGGGATGGAGCCAGACCCACGCAGGGGGACCAGCCGGCAGCTGATGGGGTCAGACCGGTCGGGAGGAGGGGGGGTCCGGGATGGGGCAGCACAACCCGGGGGGGTGCGGGGCTCGGGGGACAAGCGACACCTTAAAGCAAAGGAAACAAAACGACCGGCACCTCTCCCCGCACCCCGCGCCACGCGTGACGGCGCTGCCCGAACCCGGGGTTCCCAACCCTCCCCGCAGGACGCCCGGTTCCCCCGCGGAGGACCCGGCGCCCAACCCCGTACCCGCTC